CCTTTATCCAGCCTTTGGGGAACTATTCCGTCCACTGACACCAATGATGGGGCACTATTCATTCCACTGACACCAGTGATGGGGCACTATTCCTCCCACTGACGCCAATGATGGGGCACTATTCCTCCCACTGACGCCAATGATGGGGCACTATTCCTCCCACTGACGCCAATGATGGGGCACTATTCCTCCCACTGACGCCAATGATGGGGCACTATTCCTCCCACTGACACCAATGATGAAGCACTATATCTCCCACTGACACCAATGATGGGGCACTATTCCTCCAAGTAATACCAATGATGGGGTACTATTCCTCCCACTGACTGACACCAATGATGGGCACTATTCCTCCCACTGACACCAATGAAGGGGCACTATTCCTCCCACTGATACTAATGATGGGGCACTATTCCTCCCACTGACAACCAATGATGGGGCACTATTCCTCCCACTGACACCAATGATGGGGCACTATTCCTCCCACTGATACCAATGATGGGGCACTATTCCTCCCACTGACAGCAATGATGGGGCACCATTCCTCCCACTGATGGCACCATTCCTCCCACTGACAGGATGGGGCACTATTCCTCCCACCGACACCAATGATGGGGCACTATTCCTCCCACTGACACCAATGATGGGGCACTATTCCTCCCTCTAGTACTAAAGATGGGGCATTATTTTCCCCACTGATGGCCAGGGCCACATTTTGCCCCCCCCTAAAGTCTGAAGAACACTAAACTGGCCCTTTGCTTAGAAAGTCTGGAGACCCCTGGAATAAAAAACAAAAATATAACCACAAACTCAATGATGGTATTAAAACATCAATATGACTCGACAGGTGGATTGCTCAGAAGTGTTCTCTAGTCTCGTGAAAGTGAAATCCTGATGATGTATACCCCCCATATACATACAGAGGGCGCACCCAGCAATCCCATTCCCAGCTTTGTGATGCCGCTTTCTACAGATGTCTGCACAGAGCTGGAAGTCACATAAGAAGCATCCTAATTGTGAAGGAAATGCATATTTGATCCCCTGCTGATTTTGAATGTTTGCCCACTCACAAAGAAATGATCGGTCTAAAAATCGAATGTTCGGTGTATTGTAACACTGAGAGACAGAATAGCAACAACAAATTCAGCAGAAATGCATGTCTAACAAATGATGACTGATTTGCATGTTCATGAGGGAAATAATTATTTGATCCCCTTCACAAAACATGACTTAGTACTTGGTGGCAAATCCCTTGTTGGCAATCACAGAGGTCAGACGTTTCCTGTAGTTGGCCACCAGGTTTGCACACATCTCAGGAGGGATTTTGGCCCACTCCTCTTGGCAGATCCTCTCCAAGTCATTAAGGTTTGGTGGCTGACGTTTGGCAACTCGAACTTTCAGCTCCCTGCACAGATTTTCAATCGGATTAAGGTCTGGAGACTGGCTAGGCCACTCCAGGATCTTAATGAGCTTCTTCTTGAGCCACTCCTTTGTTGCCTTGGCTGTGTGTTTTGAGTCATTGTCATGCTGGAACACCCATCCTCCTCCTCCAAACATGGCGAGTTGAGTTGATGCCAAAGAGCTTGATTTTGGTCTCATCTGACCACAACACTTTCCACCAGTCCTCCTCTGCATCATTCAGATGTTCAGTGGCAAATTTCAGACGGGCCTGGACATGTGCTTTCTTGAGCAGAGGGACCTTGTGGGCACTGCAGGATTTCAATCCTTGTCGGCGTAGTGTGTTACCAATTGTTTTCTTGGTGACTGTGGTCCCAGCTGCCTGGAGATCATTGACAAGATCCTCACGTGTAGTTCTGGGATGATTCCTCACTGTTCTCATGATCATTGACACTCCACGAGGTGAGATCTTGCATGGTGCACCAGACCTAGGAAGACTGACAGTTGTTTTGTGTTTCTTCCATTTGCGAATGATTGCACCAATTGTTGTCACCTTCTCACCAAGCTGCTTGGCGATAGTTTGGTAGCCAGTCCAGCCTTGTGTAGATCTACAATCTTGTCCCTGACATCCTTGGACAGCTCTTTGGTCTTTGCCATGGTGGAGAGTTTGGAATCTGATTGTTTGACTGCTCCTGTGGAAAGATGTATTTTATACAGGTAACAAACTGAGATTAGCAGCACTCCCTTTAAGAGACTGCTTCTAATCTCATACTTATTTCCCTCATGAACATGCAAATCAGTGCATCATTTGTTAGACATGTATTTCTTTTGAATTTTTTGTTGCTATTCTGTCTCTCAGTATTACAATACACCTACTGCTTGATGTTTAGACTGATCATTTCTTTGTGAGTGGGCAAACATTCAAAATCAGCAGGGGATCAAATACGCATTTCCTTAACTGTAATTGTGAAGTGGAAGGAAAATGAGAAATGGTTTTTAACATTTGTGACCAATAAATCTGTGAAACGTGTGGCGGCATTTGTATTCAGCCCCCCGGAGTCCATACTTTGTAGGACCCACTTTGGCTGCAATTCCAGCTGCAAATCTTTTTGGGGATGTCTCTTTGCACATCTAGAGAGGGACATTTCTGCCCATTCTTCTTTTCAGAATCGCTCAAGCTCTGTCAGATTGGATGGAGAGCGTCTGGGAACAGCAATTTTCAGGTCTGGCCACAGATTCTCCATTGGATTTAGGTCTGGACTGTGACTGGGCCATTCTAACACATGAATATGCTTTGATCTGAACCATTCCATTGTAGCTCTGGCTGGATGTTTCGGGTAGTTGTCCTGCTGGAAAGTGAACCTCCGCCCCGGTCTCAAGTATTTTGCAGACTCTAACAGGTTTTCAGCTAAGATTGCCCTGTATTTGGCTCCATCCATCTTCCCATCAACTCTGACCAGCTTCTCTGTCCCTGCTGAAGAAAAGCATCCCCACCACATGATGCTGCCACCACCATGTTCCACGGTGAGGATGGTGTGTTCAGAATGATGGGCAGTGTTATTTTTCCGCCGCACATAGCATTTTGCTTTTAGGCCAAAAAGTTCTCTTTTGGTCTCATTGACCAGAGCACCTTCTTCCACATGTTTGCTGTGTCCCCCACATGCCTTCTCACAAACTGCAAACAGGACTTCCTATGGCTTTCCTCTAACAATGGCTTTCTTCTTGCCACTCTTCCATAAAGGACAGATTTGTGGAGTGCACGACTAATAGTTGTCCTGTGGACAGATTCTCCCACCTGATCTGTGGATCACTGCTGCTCCTCCAGAGTTCCCATGGGCCTCTTGGCTGGTTCTCTGATGAATGTTCTCCTTACCCGACCTGTCAGTTTAGGTGGACGGCCATGTCTTGGTAGGTTTGCAGTTGTGCTAAACTTCTCCACAACTTTATCACTGACCTGTCTGTTGTGTTCCTTGGCCTTCATGATGCTGTTTGTTCACTAATGTTCTCTAACAAACCTCTAAGGGCTTCACAGAACAGCTGGATTTATACTGAGATCACATGACACACAGGTGTACTCTATCTACTAATCAGGTTGCTTCTGAAGGCAATTGGTTCCACTATATTGTAGTTATGGGTATCAGAGTAAAGGGGGCTGAATACAAATGCACACCACACTTTTCAGACATTTATTTGTAAAACATGTTGAAAACCATTTCTCATTTCCACTTCGTGTTAGTCTATCACATAAAATCCCAATAAAATACATTTACGTTTTTGGTTGTAACAGGACAACATGGGGAAAAGTTCAAGGGGTATGAATACTTTTTCAAGGCACTGTACATAATCTCGTTAGCCACGATAAAGGGGTCGCCTTCTAAACCACTGAAACGCATTGGATTTTAGTTTACTTTTAAGCAGCTGCATGATGTACAGATAGACAAGTTTAATTTGAATGCTTAGGAGCAAGAACAGGGCTGCCTCAAGCAAAAATTATTTATGCACTGTTCAGCCACCTACTGGTAACCATTCCCCAGGGATTGGCTGAAACAAGGTGGTATCAAAAAGTTTTGAGACTAGTTTTGTAACACGCCAACAGGTGGCAGCACAAACCTGCACACACAGTCACAGGGAGCATGAACCTTAATAAGTCAGCTTGCCGCAAGACATCGTCCTGTGTGCATCAGGAGCTGTGCAACTGGTGCTATTCTGACCACGTGCATTACCACATCTGCTATTTCATCATGGACAGCAAGATAGAACTTTTTGATACCACTTTATTTGTCAATCCCGGGAAAAGGGTTCACAGCAGGTGGCTGAAGAGTACATAAATAGTTTTGTGCCTGAGGCAGTTATGGTCTTCCTTCTAAGCATTCAAAGGAAATCTGTCTTCATCTGTACATCATGAATGCTGCTTAAAAGTAACCTAAAACCCAACACATTTCAGTGGTTTACAAGGCGACCTATGGAGGTCGGTGCTCCCTTTGACTGTGCATGCAGCCTTATGCTGCCGTCTTTTGACATGTCACAAAACTAGTCTCAAAACATTTTGATACCACCTCGTAAAAATTCAGGCTGTCCGATTTGCCTTTTACAACTCACTAGGTTCTAGAATCCACCAAAAGGCAGGGGGAAATAGTCAAACCTTCACCCAGTGAAGCCAAAAACAGACCAAAGTGATCAAAGACCGCTCCAGTGAGTACAGGGGAGCTAAAAAGACTAAATTTACCCAACCTTTCTACCAACCTACCTGGGGGGTGCCACATACAGCACATAAAGTCTTGTTGAGCTACTCTATGTTCAAATTTTTATTACCGCATTTTTCGCTCCATAAGATGCACTTTTTTCCCTCCAAAAAATGGGAGAAAATGTCTGTGTGTCTTATGGAGTGAATATGGAGCGACTGGCTCGGTATTCCCACCGCCGCCGTGTTAGAATATGGGGCCAGCAGCAGAACCTTACCTGTTTTTTTGTCCAGCGGTATCCTCGCGGTCTTCTCTCCCGGCCCGGGCAACTTTAGTGTGGGCACCCGGCTGTGACAGCTTGTGGCTTCACAGCTGGGTGCCCACTGCGCATGTGTGAGAAGTGATGCACTTTGTGAATGGTCCGGCAGTCCCCTGTACTGTGTCCACAGTCTCTGGTCATCTCCTGTACAGTCTCTGGTCATCTCCTGTCCATGTCCGCAGTCTCTGGTCATCTCCTGTACCATGTCCGCAGTCTCTGGTCATCTCCTGTACCGCGTCCGCAGTCTCTGGTCATCTCCTGTACCGTGTCCGCAGTCTCTGCTCATCTCCTGTAGTACATTCGCAGTCTCTGGTCATCTCCGATACCGTGTCCGCAGTCTCTGGTCATCTCCTGTACCGTGTCCGCTTTCTCTGGTCCTCTCCTGTAGTACATTCGCAGTCTCTGGTCATCTCCTGTACTATGTCTGCAGTCTCTGGTCATCTCCTGTACCGTGTCCGCAGTCATCTCCTGTACCATGTCCGCAGTCTTTGGTCATCTCCTGTACCGTGTTCGCAGTCTCTGGTCATCTCCTGTAGTACATTAGCAGTCTCTGGTCATCTCCTGTACTATGTCTGCAGTCTCTGGTCATCTCCTGTACTGTGTCCGCAGTCTCTGGTCATCCCCTGTACTGTGTCCGCAGTCTCTGGTCATCCCCTGAACTGTGTCCGCAGTCTCTGGTCATCCCCTGTACTGTGTCCGCAGTCTCTGGTCATCTCTTGTACCGTGTCCGCAGTCTCTCTGGTTATCTCCTGTACCGTGTCCCCAGTCTCTGGTCATCTCCTGTAACGTATCTGCAGTCTCTGGTCATCTCCTGTACCGTGTCCGCAGTCTCTGGTCATCTCCTGTAACGTGTCCGTAGTCTCTGGTCATCTCCTTTACCGTGTCCGTAGTCTCTGGTCATCTCCTGTACTGTGTTCGCAGTCTCTGGTCATCTCCTGTACAGTCCGCAGTCTCTGCTCATCTCCTGTAGTATGTCCGCAGTCTCTGCTCATCTCCTGTAGTATGTCCGCAGTCTCTGGTTACCTCCTGTACTATGTCCGCAGTCTCTGGTCATTTTCTTGTTTTCCTCCTCAAAGACCTAGGTGTGTCTTATGGACAGGTGCGTCTTATGAAGTGAAAAATACGGTAAGTCTTTTTTTTTTTTTTTTTCTACTGATGGAGATCCAGAAAACAAGCAGCATACTGTCTTAAACCTGTATTGGCCTGAAGGGCTACATTTTCTCTGACCATACTCCCATTCGATGATAATGGTGTGGAATCTCAGCATGTTCTAATAAAGAAGGTGTCTTTCTTTGGGTGTTTTCACTATAAACCACTACCAGTAAAAACACAACACAAGTTTGTGGTGTTGAAAATAAATAAAACTTTACTCTTGCTCATGAAATATAGAACACAAAAATAAAGATATGTTCTTTTTTTTTGTGTTATATATATTTTTTTTTCAAGTCCAAAACTTTTTGGAACATGGCTTTATGAGAAATAATAATAAAAAAAAATATTTACAGTAACTATACAACAAAGATAGTTTTATAAATATCCCTTCAAACAAAAAAGATTCAACAAAGTTTGCATGCAATAAAAAGCCCATGTAGAACAAAAGAACGCAGTTCAGGAAGTGCCCATTTTTTTTTGGAACAATGTGCCATTGTATGACCATAGTTTTGATGAGCCTAAGAAGCTCTAGATCAGCCTCTCAACCTTTTTACCCCAAAGGAACCCTGAAAAAAATTCAGGTCTCGCAGAACCCTTGTTAAAACCATTTCATAAGGTGTCAATGAAGAAAAAAATCCCCTACGTTGGAGGTCAGTAGGAAAAATGCAACCCTTGTAGCAGTAATCAGAATGCCACGCTTATAAATAGCTAAAAAGATGATTGGGTAATTCTGCTGGTTTTTCCAAGTAGCATTGGCCCTGGAATTATGCAGACACCATCAGATGTCAATCAGCCAAGGTTTAAGGAACCCTTTGCAACCTCCGTAGGAATCCTAGTGAAGTTGAGAATGGCTGTTCTACATCAGCATTTCTCAACATACTCCCTACCCCTGCACTCTATACAAGAGGTTCTCAACCACTGGCCCATACATATTTTGCATTGTTGTGTAGTGAAGGGACAGACACGGCTCAGACCGACCTAAGAAGTCAGATGTATATGATCGCCTCAGCCGACGTTATGGCCATGCACTCTGATGCATTTTGCCCTGCCCACCAGGGCTTGGCCACAGAGGCACCTCTGTGACCAAACCCCGGTAGGCAGGGTGAAACATGTCAGTGGCGTGGCCAGAGCATTGGCTGAGGCCATCCTATACATCTGACTCCTTAGGTCGCTCTGAGTCATGTCTGTCCCTTCACTACACAACAATGCAAAATATGCATGGGCCAGTGGTTGAGAACCTCTTGTATACAGTGCAGGGGTAAGGAGCATGTAACATAGAGAACAGTGTACAGAGTGCACAGGATTGTGTTCATGGTGCCACTTACATTGTTAATCAGTCAGTAGGGAAGAAACAAATTCTAGTGTTGGGGGTTTGTGGGAGAGAAAAAAACATCCTGTGTCATTGGAGGAAAAATGTAGGGCGTCATTGGTCAGTAGAGGAAAACAAAAATGCTCCCCCTGTTGGTAGTCAGTGGGAGCATCATTGGGCAGTGGCTTCAAGACATCTGACTCCTTAGGCTAGCCTGAGTGATGTCCGTTCCTTCACTACACCAGAATCGTCCTGGGATGCTGCTGCCTTCTTTCCTTATGCCAGTGGGGTGGCTTCTCTTTACTTCGAGCTTGAGCGGCGCCATGAAAGTTTCTCTACAACATATTTTGCATTCCTAAACTTGCGTTGTATGGATGTAAACTTTTTTTTTTCCTGTTGGGGTATGGAAGGTAATGGAAGAACCTACTGGGCACTGGTCTCACTATGGTTAAGAAGGACCGCCCTAGAAAAAGCTTTGTGGATCTTTCACTCTTCTGGAATTCCATGGAAAAGGTCTTAATCCCCCAAGCTACATCCAAGATGCTGGCTAATATGTATTTTAGAAAAGCTTGATTGCTGGGTGTCACAGCTGCCCCCCCCCCCCCTCAGCCCCTTGCTCTGTCCCTGCTCTCTCTGCTGTCTCTCATCCGTGTCCCTCTCCTCTCCTGCAAAATGAAAGGCATTCCTAAGAAAAGCTGGAGCCATGCTACCTCCGCCCCCCCCCCCCCAGTTGCCTAGGTGACTAGGGGGTCCGACCAGTTTTAAGAAAGCTGATGCCAGAGCTCCTGAGGTATTCACCGCTGTGTAGCTGACGGAAGGGGCCTGGGCTGCGGCTGGGACTTTTTCGTGGCCAGGCTCGGCAGAGACCCAAGGCTGCCTAGGACCTGGGGGGAAGACTGTCTGCTAGACACCAGCAATCCGTAAGTACATGATCTCTGCCTGCTTCACTTGAACTGTTCTTGTGCTGACTTCACACCAACCCCCCCTGTTGGAATACTTACTACAGAGACTCACACCAAACTCCCTGTTGGATTACTTGCTACATAGACTCTCCCTTGGCTCTTGGTGTTGGACTTTACATGTGTTGGTCCTTCCATGTCGCCCTGGACTGGCGTATTCACGAACTCCCCTATTCGGTGACTGTCATCTGTTTGCCTCAATAAAGCTTTGTGCGTTTGCCATCTACTCTGTGTGTTCTGTCCTGCCTACGCTCCGTCACAGTGGGCTTATAGAGTTTACAGAGGTGCCTCTGTGATCAAGCCCCGGTGGGTGGGGTGAAATGCATCAGAGGGCGTGGCCGGAGCATCAGCTGAGCAAATCCTATACATCTGACTCCTTAGGTCGGTCAGAGCAATGTCCTTCCCTTCACTACACCAGAATCACTGTAATAATTTTGGGGCGCTGCTCCCTTCTTTCCTTATGCCAGTGGGGTGGCTTCTCTTAACTTCCAGCTTGGAGCGGCGCCATAAGAGATTTTCCAGGACATATTTTGCATTCCTAAACTTGTGTTGTATAGACGTAAATGTTTTTTTCCTATTGGAGTATGGAAGGTTATGGAAGAACCTACTGGGCACTGGTCTCACTAAGGTTGAGAACCACAGCCCTAGAAAATTACTTTTGGATCTTTTGCTCTTCTGGAATTCCATGGAAAGGCCTTAATCCTCGAAGCTACATCCAAGACGTCGGCTAATATGTGTTTTATAAAAGCTTGATTGGTGGGCTTATAGAGTTTACAGAGATGCCTCTGTGACTGGACAGTGTGAAATGCATCAGAGGGCGTGGCCAGAGTGGTAGCTGAGGCCTTCCTATACATCTGACTTCTTAGGTCGGTCAGAGCAATGTCCTTCCCTTCACTACACCAGAACCACTGGAATCATTTTGGGGCGCTACTCCCTTCTTTCCTTATGCCAGTGGGGTGGCTTCTCTTTACTTCCAGCTTGGAGCGGCGCCATAAGAGTTTTTCCAGCACATACTTTGCATTCTCAACTTTTGCTGTATGGATGTAAACCTTTTTTTTCCTGTTGGGGTATGGAAGGCTATGGAAGAACCTACTGGGCACTGGTCTCACTAAGGTTGAGAACCACTGCCCTAGAAAATGCTTTGTGGATCTTTCGCTCTTCTGGAATTCCATGGAAAGGCCTTAATCCCCAAAGCTACATCCAAGACGTCGGCTAATGTGTGTTTTATAAAAGCTTGATTGGTGGGCCCATCGAGTTTCTCACCCCAGTACTTTTTTGCTTTGTAGCTGTATCTGTAGATTTCACCTTCGGATCCATAAGGAGTTAACTTTGTGAGCACAGCCTTCATTCTTTTGATGTTGTGGTTGTGTTCTAGAGCTGCCAACTGGGCATGTGCAGTCATTTCATCTAGGCAAGGATGGCCTCTTTGTGAACAGTATTTTAATGCAATGTGATGGAAAACTTCTAATTCGCCACCGTGGCAAAAATGTGACAAATGACCAAGGTCTTTCACGAGCTTGTCATTTGTGGCAACTTCCTTTAGTTTCCAATGGGCAGCTGACCCAGGTTCAAGCCAATCTCTAACAGTCTCTTCTTCTCCTGACAGTTTTTCGTGACTGCATTTCTTATAATATAAAGCATCCTGCCATTGATGCTGGTTTGTCACATGATGAGAGATGCCCATTTTTCCCAAAGCAATGTAGGGTTATGAGAACAGGTGCAAGCTGCCCACCATAGGTGTCTCTTTGCTGGAGAAATCCAGTCTGCTAATTGGGCACAACTGTCCCTGTGGCTAGCAAGGGCTAGTCTGTTGCTTACTAACCGTGCTACATGCCACACATCAAACTCATGTTTTATTCTTCTATAGTGACGTTTCAATAATTGAATTAAGGCAACGTGTCTGTCAGTGCACACCACATGGATGTTTACGCCTTCCAGCAGCAATCGGTCAAGGGTAATCTGACATGCTTTTTTTTCCAGCTCAACAGCACTCGCGCCCATCTTCGATTGCTCCATTTGGAAATCGATGATCTTTTTTGTGCCATGTTCAAGAAAACTGTATGTGCAGTACTTCGCGATAAACC